TTAACTAGGAGGAATGTCCATTTTACCTCGCGATCGAACTATATTTAAAATCGATTTATTTTGATACTTTTTTAGTTAAAAATAAGGCATATAAATATATTAGATCTTAAACTTGACTTCAAATTTTAACTTCGAACCTCAAACTTTCATAATGCACAAATAGACACTTTAACTATCTTATCTGTCAATAAATAAACGTGCGATTTTGGAGCCAAAGTGCGTGAAATGCAAACGCTTCCACGTGTATTAGTGGGTCAATTAGTGGCTGCCAACTAATTAAACATTTTTCACATTTTTTTTAAAAAATATTTTACACGTCATTTTGAAACTATCGCGCAGAATGCGTGCATTTCACGCATTTTGCCATGTAGGAATCGCGTGTTTATTTATTGAAAGATAGGATAGTTAAAGTGCCTATTTGTGCACAATGAAAGTTTGAGGTCAAAATTAAAATTTAAAGTCAAGTTTATGATCTAATATATGTATTATGCCTAAAAATAATTTTTGAAAAAGGATTTTTGAGGAATAGTGATTTTGTTCGGCTAAATCAATTTAAAATGTATTTTTAACTATATATTGAAGTAGTAATTTATGCTTGATCAATATTTTGCAAAATGTTTTGGAGAAAAAGTTGCCTATTATTTATATTCTTTATATTTTTCTTAGGGAAAATTTATTTAATCAGTTTCAATAATTAATTTTTTTCTTACAAATTACAACTGAAAAAATTTCTTTAGTCCTAGAATTCTTTTTTAGGAGTTATTCATGATGTTAATTAATCAACTATCGAAACTAATTTCGCGTAGCAAAATTGTTAAAAAATTGTGTAACCGTAAAGTCGCTTAGATGGGATTTGTTCCTTTCGAACATACACTTCTTTTTTCTACAGACACAAATCTTCTGAAAAGATATGTCACATATTTCACACTCTTTGTCCGAATAGACGCATTCCTTGCTGCAATTGGCTATATAAATAGAGAGTTTTTTTCCCTTTTAAAACGTTGCAAATTTTCTCTCTTCTACATATATTTTCTTACAAAATAAATTTTCCATCGATTGAGTCTGTGTGTGACTGTGTGTTCTCGTTGCTATTTTTTTGAGTTTGGTGAAATTAATGAAGTTTGAGGTACCATTACTTCTGTAATAGTTATTCAATTTTATCTCTGAATGAATTGATCAACAACTTCGGGTACTTGAGAGGATCAAATTTCTTAAGTACATATAGTGAATTTTGTGGACTCGCATTATTTATTTTATGTCTATTTCTTTTTTTTGTTATATTTTACTAACCTGAATACAGGAGATAACAGTAAATGTGCATTCGAGAAAACTATTTACTCAAGACAAGTGGGAGTATTACTTAATTATGATTAGGGTAATGCTAAATGATCAGAATTTGACCAGAAACTTAAAAAACTATTATATTTTTTAATTTTAAAATAAATTACTATTTTTTCTATTTTTTTAGTTAAAATGTATTAAAGTTAAAAAGATAAAAAAAATATTTTAAAAGGTAAAATTACATAGAAAAAAAATACTATTCTGGCAAAAATTTTCTTGTCAAAATGATTTTTTTGTCCTGATTAACTATTATATACTTTAGTTTTGATTTGTAAATTTTTATTGGCCACAAGTCGCACTCAATCCCTAATCTTCCAACTTAATTACAACAATATTTTGTGAAAGATCCTCCTTAATTAAGTAAGATGCCTTGTCCTTTTATCACATTAATTAGACTTAATTGTCACTAACAACTAATTAATCTCAAACACGGCTGAATAAAGAATCATAAGTCAATGACGCGTACGCCATAAGTACAGTTAGATTATTTATTTACTACTGCGGTAAATATTACTCTACGCGTCCAATAATAATTGTTCACTATGTTATTTTGAGATGTTAATAATATTTGTCCATTTTAAAATTCAGAGACAATTTTACACTTAGTTCCTAATTTATCTCTATAATTATTTTCTATTATACTTTTCAATATATTGTATTTATTATATTTAAATGATGATATAATAAAATTATTTTCTATTCATTGTTTGTTAAAAAGTATGCAAAGACAATAATGAACAAATATTGTTAAACAGATGGAGTGCATGCTCAATAATTTTCTTTAAGTATCCTTTTTTCTTTTTCTTTTTAAATTTAAAAAAACTAATTCAAAATATGCTGTTTTTTTTATTTATGTTGACAATGTATATAATTAAACTCAAATATTAACATGTCGTTAGTGTTCATATATATCAAAGTCATGCAATTTATTAGCGGTATGTAGTGGTTAAAGATTTAAGTTAAAAGAATACATAACACTTAATTACGATTAAGTAATAAGTTCGTATAGGAAAATATCCATGAATTAGATGTAAATATAGTCAATAAGCAAGTTTATGTGAAAATAATATTATATTATTTGATGTGGCAAATAAAATTGTTCGAGTTTCAAATATAATTAGTTTTTTTATAGGAAGAATTTTTTTTAATACGTGATACGAACCCAAATTAATCACACTCTGACGTAAATACTGGATGTTTAATTTTTTAAAAGGACAAGACCGTGGTGAAACGTGGCATGCAAGGCCCCCTTAGAGGAAAGATAAAATTGGTTTTGGTTTGGTTGTAATTAGCATTAATTAATGTGGATCATTATATGACAATTGACACGTCTCTATTTTATGGTACCACACTCATCACTCATGCATTATTAATAACTGTCCTTGCATAAATACAACTATAGACTATAATATAAATTATTATTTATTATACTAACACAGTAAGAAAATTAATATTTGCAGTGTACATAAGTTACTATATATAAGGATGTCTCACAGGAGCAGATTTAGTATTGTGTACTTCCAAGTTCAAATGCCCGCAAATAATAAATTTATTTATTAAAATTGTAATGATTAGTCTAAAAATTCAAGAATTTTAATATCGCCATATAAATGAATAAATGTGATGTACCTAAGAAATGAGTAATCAACGACACATTAGATCACCCAACCTTCAAAGTTAAGTTGGTATTTGTTATTTGATTTGCTTCGTAAAAAATTGTCGATTGTGGAATCCCGATTCTGATGAACTTATCAAGTGAATGACAGTTGATATATATAACACGCTTAGTTGTTTTTCATGTTAGAACAAAAGTCATTTTGTTTCAGCGATTATTCGTATGATATCGAAGAAGTAATGTAATACAATCATTATTAAACTGACTGTACTTGATTCATAAATTTAAACATACATACAATATTAAATTTTTTAAAATTGATTAAATTATGAATTCGACTTTTATACGGGGACGATGATAGAAAAACAATCACGTGGTATTGTACATGGAGACATACAAGGGACATGTTGTTAGTACAATAACAAACATAATTCAGCCCACTTGAAATCAAATCGAACGTTGAAAACACATACAAAACACCAATTTTAAATCAGGTTTAGGCCTCAAACAAAACGTCTTTGCCCGGTCCCGGGTCCTCCTCTATGCCTACGAAATATATTTAAAATTTAAATTTAATGAGTATTTAATAATATCATACAATTAATATAGTGGGTTCATTATATAATAATACTCATTTGATAAAGTTTTAATAGTTTTCTCAATACACATTATTTCGTATCAATTTGTTTTGTAATTTATTTATAGTTTTTTTCCCTAAAAGTTTTATTTCAAAATCTCTCTATATATCTATATATATCTATTTGTACATGAAAAATATTTTAGGAGTTTATTTTCATGGATGGTCGTCCAACTTTTATTTAATTAAATCAAAGTCGCTAAATTTTTGTCACTTCATTTTACCTAATATTATAGTATCATAGGAAGTCATTAAACTATTTTTGTACAAACAAATTGCTAAACTTTGCCTAATTAAGTATCACAAAAAGACAATAATTTTTATTTAAATAAAAAAAAAGTCATTCAATATTATTTTGCATAAGCATCTTATAAAATATCTCTTTTATTTTCTTCTTATAACTTCACGTAATACTCAAACTAAATTGAGTGCTTTTTTGATTAGTTACTAAAAATAGTTTATTGAAGATCACGATATTTGTTCTTGAATAAAGTTAAGTGATATTTCTAATAGTAAAAAATAATTTAATAAATTTAATGCAAACCTTTTACCGATCAAGGTCTATGCTACTAAACAAAGATCTATATATATATATATATATATATATATATATAAC